GGAGATTGGTCGCTTGGAAGCTGGTCGCTGGCGCATGGCTGCGGCGAGGGGTTCAGGAGAAAAGCTTTATATGACGTCCTCGCAGCGTCGTTATGATGGCTGTATGCGTCTGCTGGTGAGGTTGTATTGGTAGTGGTTCATCACCCCTCCCGTGCCGTCCTTCCAAGGCGGGAACAGCGGGGTGTGAGACAAATCCGTGGGTGGACTGACAATCACAATTATATCGAATCGTTGATCGACTTGGACGACGTTTCAGGTCGCACCCGGACGGGAAGGACGTTGTGCTCTTCTCGCAGCAAACGTTGCACATGTTTTTTTCCGGCCTCAACCTGAAAAGTGCCTGTGGAAAGGAGAATCAATAGTATGTGCACTTGCGGCTGCCAGTGTGGTGGCATGTGGTCTGTGCTAGATATTTCCGGCTACCTGCAGTTTGGCAGCTGTGGCTTGCTGAACGGCACAAGCCCCTTGCAGCTTGCATTTCTTCCTCAAATGAGTTGTTGCTTCCATGCTGACTCGAACTACATACCGATTTCTTCATGGTCCAAAAAACTCATTTCTCCTTCGTTCAACTAACGATTCAAATGAGGCCACATTTCGGCCCTAATCCATAACTTGCACGGATTTCACAAACGGCCAATTCCCGGTAGACCGGACCCTCCCAGAGATCGTGGCATTCTGGGTTCATCCTAGTTTGCCATCGGGTCTATTTTGACGATGCCCGGGGGATCAACGTCTTCTGGAAGCTTTCGAGTCCCGCTTCAGCTGAGATGACCTCTCGGCGAATCGCGATGGAATTTCTGGAAGATCTGGCCGCATCGCTTTTAGGCTCCTAGATCCACCAACGACGGCCGTCTCGGTAATCGAAAGATCCACAGAATCGCCGTAGAAGTCGTGATGAACAGTCCGGCTGTAACAAAGGGGAGGCCGGCCCAAATCCCTCCCAGCTCGAGCCCAAGGCTAAGGCTCTTAGCCAGGAGAGGGCCAGCCGCCATCATCCCAACATTCTCCATGAAGCCGACCAGGGTGTTGACCGTACCAACATGATGCTCCTCCACCAGGCCGTTCAGCAGTGACCGAATCACGGACGTAATCCCCGAGCCAAGCGCAAACCAGATCAGTCCTACAGAGAAGAGTACCCCGTTGGTCGCTCCAGCGATGATCAGACAACCCGCCACCGTGATGATACCGGACCACCGGCCGAGCCAAACGTCCTTTTCCAGCGCGGACATGCCGAGATGCTGAAGGCAAAACCAGCTGGCAAAAGGCATCAGGACCAGAAGCGTGACCATGCTGAAAGCATTCCGAATCACGAGTTGGATTGACGCTCTGCTCCAACTCCAGTGATACCTCTCTGTAGCATACTGAAGGAGGAGCTCGCCCACAAACCTACCAAGAATGACAAATGTCATGGATATGATCAACAAGCCCACGCTCTTGTTTCCAAGGATGAACTCCCAAACCTCTTCCAACCCAGTCTTTGCCTTGTGTAAGAGCTGTTGCACTCCGGATCTCTCGTCATCACTGTCGTCCTCCGAGCCGGTTGCCACATCCTTTTTGTCATGAAGATGCAACGTCTCCGGGAAAACCAGGATCAACAAATTCGCAACCCCTATTATGACCAGCGACGCCCACACCGGAATCCATGGGTCATCTACCATCATGATTCCCCCCAGCGGTCCAGCAACCATCTGCGAGCCCAAAAACACGGCCGTTAGCTGCAGGAAAACCGTTGCACGCCCGTCAACGGGGACAACGTCTGCCACAAAAGTGTAAAGCATAGCCACTAGAACGGCGCCGCCGCCACCGATGCTATTTGACCGTTCATGTTAGCCACCATGTTTATTTCAACCTCAAACCCCCAACTTTCGGATCAAACGAGATAACTTACAGCTCAAACGCCGATGACCACCAAAACCACCACAAAGGCACCACGTCCGAGAAGTAGACTATTACCCGTTTTATCAGCATGATCCCCCCTTTTCATCATCTCATATCCCGCAAAGCTCGGGGTAGACTTACAAACCAGATACATGAACCCCACCGAGAGCAAACATCCCAGCAAACTCAAGGCCAGCACCGGTCTCCGTCCCCATCTGTCGGATAGAATGCCGTATGGCACAGCACCGAGGATACCAGGAATACACTCAAACGTGGCCGCCCACCCTCTCAGCATAGCCAGCTCTCCTTGCACGTCGGGCGATTTGCAGATGGGGTCGTCTATCAGTGTGACACCTCCTGCGAATTGCTTTATTGGTGGTAACATGTCTAACAGTGGGGAGAGTGATGGTAACCTGGGGTAGTGTTGCCGGCAGATGATGGACTCCATGATGGCGTTTATGGGGGCGACGGTGATGCCGATGCCGAGCTCGATGAGGAAGAGGGTGATGAAGGTGAGGATTATCACCCGGGGGCGGATGAGGTTGCGTTGTTGGTCATTTTTGGAGATGGTGGATGTGAGAGGGGGCTGGCTGTGCTCGGGGTGGTTGTGGTTGGGGTGAGGTGATGATGGGGGAGGGGAGCCGGATAGGAGGGGGGTTTCTTCTGTTGTTGTGATGGAGGCTCTGTCGTTGTTGGCTGCCATTGCGACGGCAGCGAGGTGCTAATTGATCCCCTTATGAGAAAAACACTAAAGAAAAGAAAATGGATTCGCTGATGAATTGATACACAATAGAAATAGAAATTGGCGAAAATGAGAATATGGAGCTGTCAGTGAGAGATGGAAAGAGGTCGAAACAAGCTTCATATGACGCGCATTAAAAACAAGGCACAGAGACGTCAGGACAGGCGAGCGGCGCGGCAGTTAATATGCCCGCCGCCCCATTTCCGTCCCATCTTTTTCGCAATGCAGCCAACATAAACGAGAAAATTGAGGCCGAAACAGGCAGGTCAGATGCCCAATTGAGCGTTTCTCAGAAGCACATGAATTGATTCGTAGGGAATTGCATGTTAATTTTCCTGGTGCAGAGACAAGGTTGTGATAAACGCGGCCTTATCGTGGCCCTCTTTTAAAATCCTTGCATAGCCTTACCGGGAAGTTCCAGAACATTGATTCTTGACTTTTAGAGACGAGGAAGCAATGTCTGAGTTTTTAAGTGCTGCAATGAGTTGCTGAGCCTCACCAGTATCTAAATCATAGATTAACAGTCAAGGAGCACCAAAATGGGACATGGAAGAAAGTATCCAACTCTCAGTTACACTGTTGGATCTTGTAACATGAGGCAATCACGATCTCTGCAGGACAGCTCACTCCGTACCAACCATTTCTGGCTTCTGCCGTCGTTGCACGCGTCAGGCCGAACGTCAATTAGCATTCCCGTCATGCTGCCGCATACAAGACCTGGGCCGGCGGGAGACGACAACGAGGACGCAACATTGCTTGACCACTCCCAGAATCTCGATCTTTCGGTGAACAGAAAGCAGTACCCGAGTCCCGTCGCCCTTGCAGTTACCCACTGCCCGGCATATCAGACCCGGCCGCTCCCGGAGATCCAATCAATCCACGATAATTCCAGTCGGTCATGAAGCACATGACCAGCATCCCAATTGTCGTCTGTATGGTAGATATTGTATGCAGAAAAGTGTCTTGAAAACAGCCAGCGCATCACGCACCTCCCCGTCCCCTCGTCCATCACAATTGGCCGGTGGGGAGTTGCAACACCACGATGCCATGTGGTTAGGTACAGTGGGTCACAGCGGATCCCCTCCCCGAAGCTGCGGTGACCCCAGCACCTGTTCTTCTTCCCCTATCGGTCTTAGTGGAGCCCTGGCCAAAGAGGTGCCTACACTACCTCCCTCGGAAACTCGCCCAAGAAACTCGACTTACACACCGACATTGTCACCAGGACACCTCGCAAACACACCACCAACAAACAAAAATGATAGCAAAGTCAGACGAAAGTTACTTTCCAGTGCAATCCAAGATGGTTCTGGCAGCACCTGAAGGCGCAGCAAAAGTAATAGCTACTGAGCCTCTTGTAAGTTTTTATTATCTTTTTAGATATACCCCAGCATCCCTTGAACCAAAACAAACAAACACTGGGATATTTATACCAACCAACATGTTGTGTCCATAGCTAGACAGTGAAGCGGTGTGGACCAAACTCGTCAAGTAAGTGTGTAAACATCCACGATGTAATACCCTTTCTTCTACACCACGTCATTGATCGAATATCAGATCCTAACCGTCTGCAAAAAAAGAAAAATATACCGAGACCCCAAAGGCATAACCCGAACATGGGAATCCGCCGAGCGGCGCACCCGGCCCAAAGCAAGCGGCATCGACGGCGTAGGAATCGTTGCCATTCTTGAGAAACCAACAGGTAAATATTCTTCCCCCCCTCTCCCACCAGCGCCCTCCCTCTCCCTTCCTGTCCAGTCCTTTACCAACCAACCACATCCCCCCTCCCAGGCCCCGAAGTAGTCCTCCAAAAACAATACCGCCCCCCCTCGACAAAATCGTCATCGAGCTCCCCGCCGGCCTCATCGACGAAGGCGAAACCGCCGAGCAGGCCGCCGTCCGCGAGCTAAAAGAAGAAACCGGCTACGTCTGCGAGGTGATAGAGTCGTCCCCCGTCATGTTCAACGACCCCGGCTTCACCAACACCAACCTCAAGATGGTCCACGTGAGCGTCGACATGTCCCTACCGCAAAACCAACACCTCGAGCCCGAGCTGGAAGAGAACGAGTTTATCGAGGTGTTTCACGTCAGGCTTGTTGACCTGTGGGAGGAGTGCATTAGGTTGGAGGCAGAAGGGTACGCGATTGACGCTAGGATAGCCAATCTGGCCGAGGGGATTGAGATTGCGAAGAAGTTTAAGCTGTGAGGGTGGGTCATCAACCGGGGAGATAGGTGGAAGAAAGTTGAGTAAGAAATAGTAATGTTAATCGAAGGGATTCAGAGCATGAAGTTCAGGTAGACAAAGAGTACAACATTAATAAAGATTGGATATAATAGAGAATTGATTGTATAAAGCAACAGTTCTAAAAAGAGTCGCAAAAAGTGGACGTACCAGGGTTCGAACCTGGGACCTTCTCAAGGAGCATTGCAACATTCGAACCCTATCAAGCTGTGTCTACTTCTAACAGCTTCAAGGACCTCAAACATTTTTTTGCAACTGAGACGTCGTACCACTAGACCATACGCCCTGTGTTTATTTCCTGTTACCATCACCTCCGGATCTGCATCTTATAAGCTTGAGTCTTGAACTGAACATGCCAAGCACTGCAGCAATGACCACATCCCCTCGACAACAACAACCGCAACACCAAACCCCCCCTCCCTCACTATCACACCCCATTAAACCCTCCCCTCCCTCCTCAATCCCTCCCAAAGCGCAACCGCAGCCAACGTCTTCCCATCCCTCCCCCCAACCCTCCACAAATCCCGCATCTTCACCAACCTAAGCGAAATCCTCTCCCCATGCTCCCTCAACCCCGTCAACCTCCCTTCCCACTCGTTTAGTTGCCGTCTCGGCACCCTCCTCTCATGCATAAAAACAGGAATAAACTCATCGCACGCCCCCGGACTGGGGTAGACCCCCTCCCCCAACTTTTCTTTTGCTGTTCCTGTTCCTGTTCCTGTTCCCCCTCCCCCTTGCGCTTGTCCTTGCCCCCCCACCGCCTCCTCCAAGGCCAGTTGGCTCAAATTCACCAACTCCCCCTCCGATATCCTCATCCCCAGTTCCTCTTCAATCTCCCTCGCCGCCGTCCCCGCAAATTCCCCCTCCTCATCCACCATGCCCGCAGGGAGCTCAACAAAGCTTAAACTCCCTGCCGCGATGCGCGGTTGTACTGTCAATAGGACATACCTCTCGTCTGTGTCGGGGGGGTGTCATCGGGTATGAGAAAGACGAGCATAGCTACTGACGGACCGCGGAGGAAGACCGCGCCGGGGAGCCATTCTCCTTGTTCGTTCTTGACAGTGGCTTGGAGTTTTAAAAAACCGATGCGGGAGGAGGGGGGGAAGAGGTCGAAGGATTGGATTTTGATGGAGTGGAGGGTGTATGGGGAGGGATGGAAAGGGTGGGAGGGGAGGGATTGGTGGGAGAGGGAGGTGAGGAGGGTGGAAAGCCAGGACTGGAGTGTGAAAATGTTAGTGATGGGGGGGGGGGGGTATATAGGGTATATAGGGGAGGGAAAGGCGGGGGGAGGGGGGACATACGTTGAATGGGTGGAAACTGAGGACTTGGGATTGGGTTAGTCCCGGGGGAGGGTGATTGGGATGTTGGGGTGGGAGGGGTGGTGGAAGGTTGACGACATTTTGGCCGTGGTGGTGGTGGTGGTGGTGGTGGTGGTGGTGTGAAAGTTGTTGTTGTTGTGGTTGTAAGTTGAACGAAAAAGGAAATTGGGAAATGATGTTGCTGTTATTGGTGTGAACTTGTTTTTAAGATTAGAAAGCAATAAAGGGTGGGCTTTGTAGAGAGTTGGAGGGAGGATGGACATGATAAATACTAGGAGCCACAGGGCTGTCAAACGCCAGCGGGTCATTTCCCTAATTTCACATTCCTGTGTGTCAAATTTGGGATGGCATTTGCATTGCAACTTGTTTGTATCAAAATGTTCAAGTGATGTTTGGGAAAGAGCCTCCAGGTGTGCCTGCGCTGGGGGCTGTGCTGACGTCAAATGGACCCTTGGCGGGGTATGTACCTTGCAGGGCAGGGGTGAGTTCCGTTTGATGCTGCACCGACCCTAACCCGTTTTGTGGCAAACAGCTGGTGGCCTCAACGAGGTGGTGATGAAAAGAAAAGAAGGTATTTACGAGTTGATCTATATATATTTTGTTATTCTGATATAATTCCGTAATGCCCTGGTTGTTGCCGCTGTTGTAGTTGTGTGAATATGCAAAAAAGCAAATGGCGCCAAACTCCTTGACGATTCAATGTTTTTGACTTCAAAGTAAACTTTTCCTTGCCTGCGCTGCGTGTATCCATCATTCTGAAGCAATATATGTAAAAGTCTCTGCCCCTCAAGCAACAACACCACCCTGAGTCCCCGACAACTCGTGACTCTCCTCAGGCCGTCTCCTACTCGGCCTCCTCCCTAACTCCGGAATGGGAAAATCCTCCTCCTCTTCATTCTTCTTTTTCCCTTTCGACAAACCCCCAACCCTCCTAAGCAATGAACTCGAGCGTTCGGGACCTGTCACAGTCCCTGGCCGTGACTCGCGCGCCCCGTCCCCGTATTGATGCCCTCTACCGCCTTGCTCGGTTCCAGCACCAACGACGCTGGACGAGGAGGAACCCATCACCGAGTCAGCAAGCAGCGGCGCCGTTTGCGCAGCTGGAGTAGATGAACGAGGTGAAACCATAGCTGGGACAGGTTGCTGTTCACGAGACACTGTTTTAACAGCACCGACGAAGAGACTCCGCTCCTCAGACACTTCCTTGACATAGTCCCGCTTTGTCTTTTTCCAGTGCCTCGTCTTGGCTGCCCGGGAGGCCATCTTGTCGAGCATGATTATTTTGGCGAGGGAGCGCCCTAGTTTAGCCGGCAGCTGGATGAGGGCGCGCTTGGCTCGCTGACGGGTTGTCAGAGGAACTGCTGTCGGTGGTGGAGGAGGAGGAGGAGGAGGAGGAGGAGGAGCCGTCACGGGCGTTGCAGCCGGGACAGATGGCGGGGAATTGGGGATTGCAGGCAACGAAGGACTTGGAGTACCGGCAAGTGTCGCAGAAGATATATCAGACGCGCTGTTGCTCGGTGTTATACCTCGCGCTCTCTTCCATACCACGTAGTTTCGTCGATGCTCGAATCGCTTCCCCTCCGTATACGACGCCCATTGCACTCGTAGCTCACGACGGCGCTCCGACTGGAGAGTTGGGATCGCTACATTGTAGGTCTAAGCACAACCCCTCCGCGGTCAGCGAACTGGCAGAGCCACAGCGTCTCCAAGGGGTTTATACCGGTGGATCTCGCTGACTTCCGGCGCCAGCATGGTATGGAGGAGGGGGGGATAGCACAGTGGGATATACAGGCTCCGGACTGTCTTCCTCGTTATCCTCACCTATGTGATCGGCGACGGCATCATTGCGGACAATTTCGGTGTATGGTGTGTAAACAGGAAGGGGCTCGTCCGCCATCAGCCGTTCCTCGTTATCGCTCGAGGTAGTATTGTTATTATCCTGCCGATGTCGTTGCCGTCGATTCGGGCCGCCTCGTCCATCTACCACCCCTGAGCTCTGCGGTCTAGCCTCAGTGACTGGTGCTGTCACTGGCGGTAGCTCCTCCACTGGCCCGTCAACTGCCCAGGCTTCCCCCTCTCTGTCGGCCAGCTGCTCGATCGCGTACGAGTAGGAACGGGCATGGCGCAGCGTTCGTGCTATGACGGAAAGCTCGCTTCCAAGTCGGACGTCCGCAGATGCCAAAGATGGCGGCATCTGTCCGGCCGGTCAGAGTGCCCTTGACTAAACACACTGAAAATGCCGCCACGACTCGGGTTGTCAGTGGTGGGGAGAGGAGACTCACCATCAAGCCGACGGTCCCGTACCAAAAGATTAAAACCTCTGTGAATGCTCACCCCAATGTTTTCGCTTGCCTGGACACCAATTTTCGTATACCTTTTTGACCTGCTCTCGTTTGCCCGGGTCGGTCAAGAAGCCACATCGCCGTCATCCGAAACACCTCCCTGAACCCATTTGAACCCCGCAGTCAATGGAATGTTGTGAGAAAACATCAATCCTGATGCTCCTTCCCACATCACAGAGCCTCGTCACATTTGGTGGGTGGGCTTCTCAAGCTTGGCACTGAGAACTGCAATGACTGCGTCACTGTCCTCAATTCCCGGGGTATATGATTAATCATTCTGATCTTCGTTATGTACATTGCATCACATCGTGTTCCTGTCATATCAACAAAACATGGCGGTCACATCCTCAATCCAGCGCAGGTTTTATTTCCGTCCCCCATGCTCATCGACTCTGCTCACCTTCACCCTCACCTTCACCTTCACCCTCACCCTCGTCCACAACCACAACGACGTAGCGCCGCGAAGTCGCTTCGGAAAACTCGGGCCCATCCTCCCCGTCCTCTGTCACCGAGACAGCGTGGTCATTGGTGCTGTTGGATACTATTTGAGTAGTTCCGTCCAGAGCATTGATCGCAACGATGTGGTGCCGATGACGCGCCAACAACTCTGGCGGCGCTGTCCCCTCGGCAAACACCACGACATGCCGCTTCGGTCTCTCGTTATCAGCAACAACCGACCGCTCTTCGTCAATAACGTACCGGCTTCCGGTGGCCAAAAGAGGATCAGTTGTCGGTGCGTGGGGAGCTTCTCTCATGACATAACGACGTTCTGAATTGGGTTTGCTGCTGCTTTCTCTCGTTGACGGCCGGTCTGATCCAAGCCCTTCGGGACTATCCTCAAGGGCGGCCTGGAAGCGGACTTGACGAGGTGGCTTATCAGCACTTCCCGGTCCAGTTGCGGTTGTAACCGAAATGTTGTCGACACTGAAATGGCGACGGTGGCTGCGGTTCTTGCGGTTGCTGGGAGAGCCTGGAGTGTCCGCAAAAGGCTTGTTCTTTTTGATTCGGCTTGATCCCGCTTGCCTTCGCACACGATACGATCTGCCATCTGGATGGGCGTTAGCCAGAAGAGGGGCTGCTTCTTCGTCTGTAGCAGGATGCGCGCGATGACGACCCGCGTTGGTGTCAGGACTGCCAGGCCAGCCTTGCACAAAGATTACGGCCAGCAGACCAGTAGATGCAGCGACCAGGGCAAGGGACTGGACCAAAATTTGGAACCCCCAGACCCAGGTAATGGCACCGGCAAATAAAGGTCCTACCAAGCTTCCCCAAGCAGCCGCAATATTCGGAAGACTAGATGCTTGGGCAGCCGCACTCGACGGGTCGGTGACCGCCAAAGGCCCCACCACGTTTGTGATCTCCTTGATCAGCGGATCCCCGCACAATCCAATAGCGAAAGATATGGCAGCAAGTGTCAGAAGCAATGGATTCGTGAGAATGCCATGGTTGTCTTCTGTGGTCTGTCCTGTCGCTGAGACAAGCGACAGAATGCCGGGAACCGATGCCAAAAACCCAATGGCTGTCAACCAACGAGCCGACCCGGGAACTCGAGCAGTCAAGGCACCAGCCAAAACACCAACCACCACGGCCGGAGCCGATAGCCACACAAATAGCAACCCAGCCCCTAACTCGCCCCACCCAAGTTTCCGGATGATTCGCAGGGGGAGTACGGTTTGGAGAGCAGTCGACAAGACGTTGAGCGCAAAGTAGCCGTATACTGCCACCAAAAGCCGGAGGCTCCAGGTGGATGGCTCTGTAAGAATAGTAGAAGCACTACTTCTGCTCGACCTCACAGATGATACCGAAAGTGGGGATCTCGATCTTTCGGAACGTCTGCTGCTGCGAATAGCGGGTTCTGGGTTCCCAACCTCAGGGGTCATGGTGCCGTAGCCGTGAGGCTCTGTTGCTGGAGTCTCGTCCGCGCTGTTGCCGATGTGGGAGTTCGGGGCATTGATTTCGACGCTCGGAGTGATGGCGGCGGCAACTAATGTGAGGAAAAAGGTCGAAGCGATGAGGGCATAGGCAACATAGAAGACGGTTTCGGGACCTTGGTGCGTGTAGAGAAAGCCGGAAAGCACAGGTGCTCCAGTCAAGGCCAAGCCCTGAATGAAGGCAGGTGAGATCCAAGACAGGATTGGTGCCCTACCATCGACGGCAACTGCTGTTGCCAGCATGCCAGAGCATGCACCGGTTGTTGCTGCTGAGGAAACACCCTGGAGGGCTCGGGCAGCGATCAAAACCTGAAGGCTGGTAGTAGACTGGATCAGCGTAAACGAAGCTCCTGCAGATGCAAGTCCTGCAAGCAGAATAACCCAGGTCAAGGGTCCCTGCCGGGTTAAAAAGGGCATCAAGGCTATCAACAGTCAGGCAAGTCCCCAATGGAAAGGTAAAGAGAACATACGGGACACCACAGCGGCTGTTCCGCCAGCTGCTGCGAGAAAGACAGCAATCCATACTTGGACTGTTTGACTGTGTTAGCAAAGCGCTGTCTCTCCAAACAGAGGTCTTGCAGCGTGCCTACCTTGTGCTGGCGGAGCGTTTGTCTTTTCCTGGATAATGGTAGGGACCAAGGGAACAAGCTGATTAAAGTCAGTGGCAGGCCCTTATTTCTTTTAGGCGATGCAAGTACGCACAAGTCCCGTAAGAAAGACATCTGTAAAGGCGGCAAATTTTGCCAGAGAAACGAGAAAGAACATCTTTGCTGGGCCAGTGGTTGTTCTTGGTGAGTCTCGTAATATGGTTGTGGTGGAGTGTGAGCCAGGAAGGTCCTCTGAGGTTGGGATGGCCGGTGAAGGTAGTGTTGCGGTTGGCATATCGGTGGCAATGCCAGCATCGCCAGACCTGTCGGGAGCAGTTTCGTCTTCCATCTGATGATGTTCGAGTTTCGGCGTTACCAGCGCGTCGTCCCCGTCCTTGTGTTCCCGTCGCGTGGAAGAAGCACCGGGATCGTCGTTGTTTTCGTGTCCATGACCTGAGCGGTCTGAGACTGGGCTCTGAGCTCGGCCGGCCGGTGTAGATATTTGTGCCATGGACCTCACCTCGCCGAGGCAGTCAAAATTGCATGCCAACGCTCGCCTCTTAGCGGAGCATGACGACGAAGAGAAAGTCCAGATGACAAAAAACAATGGCACCACAGCCAGTTATCTTTGCGGAGGCTGGTTGTCGGGCGCCTCACTGGCAGGCAGATCTGTCGCTGAAAATCAGGTGGGGGTTCCGTTTTGGCTAACCAGGACTGCTTCTCCAATCTCCCCCGCTTAAGGACTCCACCTTTCCCGCGGTGGCGCCATCTCATTGGAGAAACAGCTGAGCAGCAGGCTGCCGAGCAGGGATGAGCTCTCACCATCCGGCGCCAAGCTCTCTCGAGATGTCCACAGTTGCTAACCAGGACTGGGCTCCCGAGCCATGTTATCGTCTGTTCCAGGTTTGACCTTCACAAAATCCAACGGGGTTCGTCGAGATTCCTGGGCATTACATACGACCGTTGATATCCTCAGATCCACCGAAAAAGAGACCCTAGGGACCCTTACGCCCCCGCGTGCCCCTCAGTCCACACCGCTCGGGCCTCGTGCTTCAACCATCGCGGGGCATTGCAACCTTTCCTCTCTTGTATTTTGGAACTTCCGTTTTAGGCGCTGCCATTCGCCCAAGATATCGTCACATGCATCAACTTGGCCAAGCTTGATGCACGCACCAAGGGTCTTAGGTTCGGCTGGGCATCTCCCACATTACGACGACTTCATGGCAGTTGAAGAGATCCTCATACTGGTAGCATCTTCAGGAACATCAGATGATGGCTGATAACACTTCAGCGACAGTGTATGGCAGCATAATGCAGGTCCCAAACTCAAACTGTTCCACACAGGGACGCTCCGGCCCCAAGTCGAAGTATATTTTGTGGCACCTTCATGACGTGCTGTTGATGTTCTCTGACAAAATGATCTGTCCAGTTCTGATCATCCAACGCTTTCTTTCGATATGTTTGATCATCATGGCCTATCAACTTCGATATGGCCGATTTGATAGAGCTCTCGAAACAGCCGCCTAGTTCGCTTTCACCATGGGAACCATCAGTCGTCCTGGAGTTATGGAATCCAGACACTCGGGGGTGGTCATGTCTTGGTTCGACGCAAGCAGGCCGCCGTTGTCGACGAATCCTGAGTCAGGCCAAGAGGGAAGCCATCATGAAGATACTTCCAAATCTTGACATATCTAAACCCAAGGACGGCGACCTAGAGGCAAAGCTCCTGAGCCAGTTAAGCTACGAGTGTCTGTGCCGAGATCACGACGATGACGATACCGCAGAGACCCTGGTGGGGCAATGGAAGACTGCGTTCCAAAAAGCCCGTTCTCAATATCAGAAGACGCAAGAAACTCCGTCAAAGGAGCTTCCCAGCCCAGATTCCAAGGGTCTTGCCAGAGAATCGAGTGCTCAAAAGGAAACGCCGAGTACTGATACAAGTTTGAGACCAACCCCAGCTAGCGAAAGCGCAAGTAAGGGACTCAACGTCAACACGCAGCTCCAGTCACCGCCCACCAGCTCCAAGGAATCGGAGGGCGCAACATCAGTCTCACCGCACGACTCTCAGGAAGGCGCTTCAGTGCCAGAAGCCACGCCATCCAAGTCTCCCGAAGCCAGCAAACCTACCCCTACCTTTGACTTCACCCAGCTCTTCAAAACCCCTAGCTCCCACAAGCCCACAGTCAACCCACAGAAATCCACACCTTCCCCGGCAACCTTCAACTCTGCCATCGAAGAACCCCCGTCCAAAACCCCTGGCGCCTCAAGCACAGCAGACAGATCACACTCCTCAGTTCCAACCCTCAGCCCTGGCGAGAGTAGCCCTTCCTTTGTCTTCTCCAGCTCATCGACCCCTTCCAAGCTCCCGACTGATCAAAAGGAAGAGATCTCAGAGTTTGAGCGCCGCCTCAGCGACATGACAAACCGCCAAAGTCTTGAGTCTCAGCGGCGATGGCTGAAGGATCTGAGGGAGGGCGTGGATGAGCAGAGTAGAGTATTGACAATGCATGGCGATGCGAAGGAGAAGATGGATGAGAAGGTGCTGAGGGAGACAGAAAATGAACTCACGGGTTTGGGGGAGAGTATTGAGAGGCTGAAGCTGAAGCTTGAGAAGGGGAGTACGCCGAGGCCGATGGGATTAGGGGCTGGGAGTGTTCAGACAAGAGGGGAAGGGTCACTGCGTGACGCTGGCTCTCGTGGTGGTTCGGCAGATGAGGGTGAACTTTCTGATGAGGGTGATAAGAGAAAGGGGGAAGAAGGCTCGGGGGAAAAGGTGGGTAGTATGTTTGACTTTTCTTTTCAGACTCCAAAGGCTTCTAGTGGTGGACTGGGTTCTGGGGGGCAGTCGAAATTTTGACTCTGTGTTTAGTTCTGGGGGGAGTCCAAAGTAGGACATGTTGGTTATTAAACTCTTGAGAGTTGGTATGTAGTGATATGGCCTGGAGGGCACGTCAAAAATAGAGGACAAACAAAAGAAGAGAAAGACGTTCTTGCTGCGGCTGGGATCGAACCAGCGAAGTCCAATGCCTACACGAGGTAGATCATGGTGCATTCCCACTCTGCCACGCAGCGTTTTTTCCTCTCTCTTCTGTCTCTAGTGCGCTTGGCTACTAGTGTTTGTTTGGGAGGGTGTTGGCGGGCTTATATGTCGGCCGTAGGCAGATAGTATGGCTGTGTTTAGGTTTGGTGACTCATCTCATTTGACCCTCGGCTGTTACTGAGTGTTGGTCCAGTCGAAGACATCGATGACTATCACTTCGTCGGTAGTGAGGAGTTGCCCGCAAACAGGTCGGGCCAGTTTCGCGCTCTTGCATCGTGACTTGACGTGCTTTTTATGCAGCGCGTCGTTCAGTCTTTCGCCAGTTTTCCTCGCCCCTGGTGGGTTACAATCCGAAGGGGAAATTGTCAAAGAGGGAAATTGAAAGCGGGGGATACATATAGGGATAGTTGGGTGAGTGCTGAATTGAGTAAGGAGGGGATTTAATAGACGATGTGGTCGTTGAAGGGGTGGGAGGAGGATGAGGGGGCCGCTGAGGTTTCAGGGTGAAAATGATCATGCTTGGCAGAGAAGAAGGCACTTCCGTACGCTGCACATTCTCATGCTCTCTCGCTCTGACCTGGTGTGATACCTTTTAAGCGCTTTCAGCTACTGTCGCTGCTGACGTTTTGTGTCACGATTGGTCCAACCTGCATATCAGTGGCTGTGGCTCAGATTCGGTCAGGCAGGAACGATTATTCGTCAAACTTGGAGGGGTTGAACAGCCGCTGCCCAACTTTCTGTCATGGCAGAACCTACCTGAACTTTTCTCTGAGACATAACATCCTTCTCATACTGTTCATGAGTATCACCTACTATGGATCCCGCCAGCGCAATTGGCGTCGCCAGCAGCGTCATCACCTTTGTGGAGGTCATATACAAATTCGTCTCTCTTGTTTATTCCTTGGGCAAGGATGGCTCCAACACCGCCTACGACGAGGCCGAAGTAGTTTGGAAACGAATGCAGCAATCGTCCCTCGAGATACTCCAAGGCGGGCCGGATCAGCCAAACTCCACGACGACGTTGTCGGCAGTGGACGCCAGTATCTCTGACCTTGCCAACGAATGCTATAAGATCTCTTTGAAGATCGGTGTGAAAACCTCTAGGCTTCAGCCAAAGAGTCGAAGGCGGCGCGATGTCTTCACAGCGGCTGTTAAAGACTTGCTGTCTGGCGATGAGATTAAACAGTTGCAAAGACGGCTTGATAGTTGCTGTGGCCAGCTGCACCTGTATTTGTCTATCCGAAATCGGTGAGTCGCCCTTGTCGTGAATTCTTGCCGGGTGGCAGGCTTTGGGCATGAAATCTGATCGTGATATAACAGCCAGACACTCGGCAGAGAGATCCATGACGAAATCGATCGGGTTCTCATTCGCATCCAGACAGCCTCTGAAGACCTTGCCCAAACAGCCCAGAAGTACAGAGAGCTGTCAAATCAGCGCAACATTTTATCTGCACTACAATTTGACATTCTTGATCGGAGGTTCCAGGAAGTTGCCACTGCAGCAGATAACACGTATGCATGGATTTATGATGGCTCTGATCATAATGACTCTGATCAAGATGACGGGGAGAATGAAAATGATAATCCTAAGAACGAGGACAAGGTCGACAACGACAACGGGGATCAAGACAAAGCTGAACAATACCATGATGATAGCGTCAAGGATAAAGACCGACAAAAGAGGGAATCGGTACATCCTTTCAAGGAGTGGCTAAGAACGGGTAGCGGCATCTTTCACGTTTCTGGAAAGCCTGGTGCCGGAAAGTCGACCCTCATGAAATACCTTTGCGAGAATCAGATGACCCAGTCCATACTACAGGAATGGGCCGGCTTTGGCAACGATCTGGTGTTTGGCCGGTTTTTCTTCTGGAGGGAAGGCAGCGCGCTGCAGAAATCCTTCTCAGGCTTGAGACGCGCGCTGCTCTATAATGTCTTGCAGCAATGCCCGGAAGTTATACACAATATCTTTCCACAACACTGGGACCTTTCACAATACCAGCCGGGGATTCAGCCGCCAGAGGTTATGATTGGGGATAAAGAGATCTCGGATGGGCTGAAAGAACTATTATGTAACGTCAGTATCTACAACCGTCGCCGCCTTATCATTTTCATCGATGGCCTGGATGAGTTTGAGGACGACTTATACTCCTATCACAATCTACTGAACGATATGCTAGACTGGGTCGACAAATCCCACGGTTGCCTGAAGCTTTGCGTTTCAAGTAGGGAATTCCCTATTTTCATGAAGCGGCTCAGCGTCAAACAGAGAATCCGCCTGCACGAACTCAACGCGGCCGATATTCTGAAAGTTATTAGGCAGGGACTAGACGGAAACGCAGAGTTCCACGCGCTAAAGCGGAGATACCCCGACGAGTGCCAACTCCTCATAGAAGAACTGGCAAAAAAATCGGAGGGTGTGTTTCTCTGGGTAGTCCTGACTCTCAAGACTGTGGCCGAATCACTTGAATGTCATGATTCTCTTACCAGCATCCGCAAGAAAGTGGATTTGCTGCCCCAAAAACTTCAAGATCTCTTTGGATCCATTCTCAAGTCGATCCCGGAATCGCAACTGAAGGATTCTTACTGCACTCTATCCTATGCATTAATCGCGACAGGAATTACCGCGAAAAGAAACCAGAGCGGTGATATAGCAAATGTAGATTGCTCATTGTTTCAACTCTCGTTCTTAGATGAGTACATGTCAGGCTCTAACGAGCTCACCAGATGTTCCGGGAATATGTGTGAAGAAGAGATTGAAGAGCGGATCATGAAGGCTGGGACACAGATGCTGGCACGTTCCCGAAACCTCCTGACGATAATGTTCGAAACTAGAGAAGGGACCCCCTACTTCTACTTCATTCACCGTTCGATTCCAGAATTCCTTCGTGAGTTCCTTCGATCCGATCTCGTTGCCCGTCGACACCTGAGTGACGGTAATGGTCAGTTTGATGCTCTCGCTGCTTATTTACACACTCTACGAAATGCGATTGAGTTCAGCTCGATCCGTTTGTGTGACAACATAGTGCTTCCCACAGTAAAGGCTACGCATAAGCACCTAAAATCTTTCGCACAAGACTTCACGACATACTTCAACGATATCGACGCCATTCACACAGCCATTCTTGGGAAATATCAACACGAACAAGCTAAACAAGAAAGCAACTGGGAGGGCAGCCGCTCGTCCGTTTATGAAGTTTGTCCCCTCTACATGGCCTCCGATTTCGAGATCACCGGCTATATACATTGGAAAACTGGGAAAGATCCTCACCTTCTTAAAGGCCCGGAGAGCTTTTGTCTCGCAGCATCAATTCTGGGAGGCCGTCAGCTCCCACATCACACAATACTTGCGGAGAGATATTTGGAAGGATCGGTATTGCGCAGAATCTATGCCAGTGGTGATCGCCGAAAACCCCTCAAAAGGATAGCACTAATCAAAGATCTCATGGATCGAGGATTGGATCTCAATTACAGAGTGTCGAACGCCGAGACCACAATGTGGGGGGTTGTACTTAGCTCTCTGATTCAAAACGCTCACACTTTGATGTGGAAACTGGTCCGGTTCGGCTTGGAATTCGGTCTTCCGGCACCATTCTGGGAGTGTAGAGATGTCATGGAAGACTTGCATCTATTTGTTGGGGAAGATCGGTACGAAATTCCCATTCGAGGTATCACTCTTCATAACCGCTTGCCTAGGGGTAATTGTCTCGTTCGGCTAGATGGAAATCTGGTGAATCCCCGAACCTTCCTCACCTGCGACAGAGACAATTGCGAATGCCCAAAAATAGAGGATTCCGACTCGGAAGATACCGACTCGGAAGATTCCGGCTCGGAAGATTCAAGCAGCGAAGATGCATCCGGATCTGTTCGCACCAAATGCTGGCACCCATACAAGGAAGACAGAGAGGCGATTTTGAGGATTCTGGACGAACGAGATGCCGAGTCCAAACTCGACCATAGGCCAAAAGATGAAGATATAGAGACGAGCGATAGTCGTCATGTCAACCAAGACCCGCCACAAACCACATCTGCGATATCCTGGCCTTGGTGGGCCCCCACAACAAGCCACCGCATCTCTTTAACCAGTTTCCTCATCCAGCTCCGAACAACAGCATGGCTATCCAACTCGGCATTGCCCTGGGTTCTGGTTGGTAAGTCATCCCCACAAAAGCCAAGAACTGAGAAGCTCTCAAGAAGGCTAATATCTCCTCAGCACTGTTACTTCTCTCTAAACTGAGGTCTTCAGCCAAGGGCACAGCAAACATTATCTCGGGATTTTCTCCTCTTCGTCTGTGGCTATCCTTGGCAAGACTGCTGGATATGAGAAGGTTCCGGTCAAAGGTTTCCAAGGGATAACGGAGTTGATATATTCGGGGTTTTCTTCTCTTTGGCTTTGGGTCCTGGGCTGCTATGTCCTACTGGCAATTTATTTCTTTTTGTATACCGCCTCCCGAAGATGTCATGAACTTTAAAAATGGAATGGCTTGTTTGAGAGTACTCGTCTTATATTGGTCACCTTCTCATGTTTTCATGGACCGTTCCGAGTTGGTCGGCTGCGCCGGATTTCAGGGGCTCAGGGGTTCAGGGGCTTGCGGTCCAAGCGCCGTTCACTAAATACTTACCTATCTTGCCATATCAGTGGCATTTTGTTCAATTGACAATATCTCTAAGTGTTTCTCGTTGGTGGTACTTTACATCTATTTAGATATCACCAGAATGCTGCCCCAGACCAAACCATCCTCAGCTTCGCCATGCACACTGGCACTATTGGGTGCTCATCCCCCTTCAGCTGCAGGTCGCCAAGAAACCATCTCAATTCTCAAATCTAGGTAAACAACGTGAAGGTGATGAAAATATCTCTCTCTTCATACCCACAACTCACCTTTCCTCCCTAAAACCCAAGGACAACCTGATGGGATCCTCAAATCCCACCAGTGAACCCCCTGGATCGGAAACCAACCCAACTCCCCTATCCCGCCTCACCACCCCCCTCCCCTCATGGCTACCTTACGCAACTTCCACATGCCCCCAATGT